CCAGCCTGGGTGACAGAGCGAGACTCCATCTCAAAAAAAAAAAATTAATTAAAAATAAATTTAAAATTTTTGCTCTGCAAAAGACACTTAATAGAAGGGAAAGACAAGCTACATACTGGGGGAAAATACTGTACTTGCAAAACATACCAACAAAGGATTTGTGTTCAGAATATACAAAAATTTTCACTACAACAATAAGAAAACAAAACAATGGGGAAAAGAAGCATTTCTTCAGAGAATCATGGGTGGCAAATAGGCATGTGAAAAGATCATCATTAGCTGTTGGGGAAAAGTAAAAACCACAATGAGATGCTACTACACACCAGTTAGATTGGCTAAAATTAAAAACAAAAAATGACAATACCGAGTGCTGGTGAGGATATGGAGCAACTAGAACATTCATACATTGCTGGTGGGTGTACAAAGTGGTACAGACACTCTAGACAACAGTTTGGCAATTTCTTATAAAGAAACATACGTTTACTATACAACCCAGCAATCCCTCTCCTAGGTATTTACCCTAGGGAAATGAAGACTTAAACATCCACGTGGAAGAGTTCATGGTCATAACTGCTCTACTGTGCCACCTCTTTGCTGTTTGCTGTCCTGGAAACAGTAGGCCAGAGCTAGTGGCCTTCTCAGTACTTGCTTTTCTCTTCAGGTTGCCAGCTTTACTGCACAGGTACCTGTCTAACCCACGTGGGAATATTAAGTTGGTTTCCCAACATTAAGCAAGTTGTCCAAAGTTACATGGTGTGTCAGCACTGTTTTGAACTCAGGTCTCCTGATTTGCAGAGAACTGCATCAGAAATTTAAAAATTCTATGTATCTATGCATGTATGTGTATATTTAGATGCATACACACTATTTGACTCCTCGCTGTACACAGTTCTAACTCAATATGATAATTCCCAAGTTTGATCCTTTGCTTTCTGTAGTATCATACTCTTTCCTTCTCGGATTGCATCTACTCATAGATTTCTTCTCTTATTCTCTGCAAATGACTGCAGTTCTGATTTTCAGCCCCTAATTTCTGACTGCTGTTATCATTTGCATATTGTGGTGTTACGAGGTATACACACACATACATACACACGTTTTCAAGCACAGTCCCTGACTCCTACAGCCCTGTTAAGTCTTTTGTTAGAATGCCAGGTGTGTTAGGCCTCAGGGGCAGGCCCCAGGCAACAGAATCTCTCCGCCTCTCCTGCTCTCCTTTTCACCTGCCCCAAGGCAGGACTCTAATCTTGCAGACGCTGGGTCTTAAAACTCTCCTGAGAGCTCCTGCGCTATGCCTTGGAGGAAGGAATGCTGATGACATGAAGTTCCCATAGAAGCCCAAGAGAACTGGGGTTGGAGAGCTTCTGGATAGCTGACCACGTGGAGGTTCTGGAGGGTGGTGTGCCCAGGAGGGCCTGGAGGCTTTGTGCCCCTCCTCCCATACCTTGCCCTACACCTCTTCATCTGTAGCCTTTGCAACATCCTTTATAATAAACCAGGAAACATGTTTCCGTGAGTTCCGTGAGCTGCTCCAGCAAATCATTCAAACCCAGAGATGGGGTCATAGCAACCCCAACTTGAAAGTGGTTGTCAGAAGTTCTGGAGTCCAAGACATATGGCTGGTGCCTGGTGTGTCTTCCTCAGGTAGACAGTGTTGGAACTGAGGAGGAAGATACCCAGCTGGTGTCCGCTGCTTGGTGGTAGGGAGGAACCCCCTCACATTTGGTCACGGAATTCTTCCGTGTTGATGATTGCTGTGATGGTGATGTAAGAGCAGAGGAAAAACACGGAGAGTTTTCCTGGAACACATATCCACCTCTCTCCCAAAAACTGAGCTCATGTTCCCGCAGACTCAACTCATGCTATGAAGCGGCAGCTGGAGGAATGCTGACGGAAAGGAGAGACCAGTTAGGAAGTGCCTGTAGCCGTCTCCCCAAGGTGAGCAAGGCCTACCTGTGGATGGTGGTGGTGGGAACTGAAAGGAGGAATCAGGGACATTTCAGGAGAGTAAGAAGAGCCCTGTCCCTTACCAGAGGCGGGGAATGAAAGACTCGAAAGTCACTGAAGTGACTTAGATTTTCTTGGAGGGCTGGAAAGCAGGGAGAATTAGAAAACTGGGCATACATTGTGGTGCCTGTAAGTGCTGGGCGGAGAAGCTCCTGGAGGCGATACACTTAGCTTCACATAGTTGAGTTTGAACTGATGTTAACACATGTACGTAGAGATGGTGGCAGCTGGAGATGTTGAAATAGGTCCTCTGGAGTACAAATTAAAATCTGACTAGTAACAGCCCGGAAATGGTCATTAAGCCTGTGAGACATGGGTAGAAATGAGAATAGAGACTGAAAAGGACACCAGATTTTTAGCTGGGCTTTCAAGATCCATTTGGCTTGGTGGTTTTGGTTTTTGGCCTATTTTCATATGTCAGATGAACAGGAACATGGAGACAAGGCAGAGCTGCTGCAGAGAAGGGACAGTGAGGGGAGTGGTGGCGGGCAGGACTGCACAAACTGCACCCTTCAGCCAGATTCTTCTTCCATTACCTCTAAATCCTTTTACATATAGGTGAGGAAAAGGTCCTGAGGGTGAGGTGATTTGCCCTAGGTCTTAACATCCCAGTGTCAGAGCCAGAACCAGAACCAGAACCCAGTGGCTAGTTTTTCCATTATGCCCAGAAAGTTCTAAAGAAAGGTGTAAAAAACACACTTCCATTTAGCTTTTCCTTCTCTAGGAACACCCCTAGTGCCCAGAACACCCATAGTGCCCAAGTCAGCAGTTTCCCTGCATGTGACAGAGGGACAGTACCCATAGGCTTTTGGTCTTGATGGCCTTCTCCTGGTCCTGCTTCTCTCTCTCTCTCTCTTTTTTTTTTTTTTTGAAATGGAGTCTCACTCTGTCGCCCAGACTGGAGTGCAGTGGCATGATCTCGGCTCACTGCAACCTCCGCCTCCCATGTTCAAGTGATTCTGCTGCCTCAGCCTCCTGAGTAGCTGGGATTACAGGCATGTGCCACCACGCCCAGCTAATCTTTGTATTTTTAGTAGAGACGGGGTTTCACCATGCTGGTCAGGCTGTTCTTGAACTCCTGACCTTGTGATCCACCTGCCTCGGCCTCCCGAAGTGCTGGGATTATAGGCGTGAGCCACTGCACTCAGCCTGGTCCTTCTCTAATGGCTCCTTCCCAGGCTCCACAGCCCCTTCTTCTTCCGCATGTGCCTTTCACACTCCGCTTGTGTGTTCTCATCCAAATTCAGAGCTTCCTCTCAGTTAAAACTGCCGAGGACTCCTAAGTCAATTTCCGGCCCAGACATCTTCTGAGCTTGAGGCTTTGGTCCAGTTGCCTACTGGGCATCTCCACCTGGATGCCACGGCTCATGCCTAAAAGGCCAGCACTTTGGGAAGCCAAAGTGGGAGGATCACTGGAGCCCAGGAGTTTGAGACCAGCCTGGGCAACATTGTAAGAATCCATTTCTAAAAAATTGAAATAATTTGCATTTTGAACAAGCACTTCAAATAACATGTCCAGCCAGGTTTAGGACCACTATTAGATACAATGTCATGCCAATAAAATTGGAAGTCTAGATGAATTTTTTTTTTCACAGGTTGTCCGTGACCAAAGGTTAACCCTGAAACCTCATAGGTTAATGAGCATAGCAGAAATTAAAAGGTTTTTAAAGGTCTTCCTGCTACAAAGCCAAGTCCAGATAGTCTCTTAAGCTGCAGAAAGACCATAACTGCTACATATTTCCCCCCAATTTTTTGTTATGAAAGCTTAAAATTTTAAACTTCTACAAAGTTTTAATCTAGTACCATGAACAGCTGTATCCTCCTCCTAGATTTAATAATTAACATTTTTCCATATCTGCTTTATCTTATGTATTTTCTTTTTGCTGACGATTTTCAAGTCAAACATTCTGACAGTTCATCCCTAAATACTTCCTCATTTTCTAAGAATAAAGACATTGGCACAATCACAACATATAGCACACAAAATAATTCATAAAGCATCGAATATCTCGTTCATAGTTAAATCTCCCTAGTTGCCCCCAAAATGTTTTTACAAACCAGGATCTGTTTCAGTATAAACTATTCTGGGGCATTCCAAAAGGTGGTAAGTTTTGGAATTTTGTTCCACAAGTTTGACAAGGCACAAAACCACAAAACACGAAAATTGAAAAGCAATCTAATAAATAAAAATGCAAAAATCAGAGTCTATAGGCCGGGCTCAGCAGCTCATGCCCATAATCCCAAAGGCTCACGCCTATAAATCCCAGCACTTTGGGAGGCTAAGGTAGTAGGGTCTTGAGCTCAGGAGTTTGAGACCAGCCTGGGCAACATAGCAAGACCCTATCACTACTAAAAGTAAAAAACTTAAAAAAAAAAAAAAAAAGAAGAGGAAAGAAATAGAAATAGCCAGGCACGGTGGCATGTGCCTGTAGTCCCAGCTGCTTGGGAGGCTGAGAATGGAGGATCACTTGAGCCCAGGAGGTCGAGGCTGCAATGAGCCGAGACTGCTGCACCGCACTCCTGACTGGGTGACAGAGCGAGACCCTGTCTAAAACAAACAAAACAAAAAAGAATATTAGCAAAGAGATGACAGTGTATTCCGGGACTGACTCGTTGAGAGCCTCGCGTTGAACCCTCAGCATCTTTCCCGTTGGTCTAGCAGGCTTGTAGTCAGATCCTACAGACGTCTCGCGTGCCTAAACCAACCAGGGTCATTCCATCCCCGTCACAGCGACTTGTTCAAATAGCTCAAGCCTATCAGCATACGATGTTACCCTGGCCACAGAGTTGATTCAACCAGCTAAAAGTTAGTCCTTTGGCGGAGAATCAGCAAACGCTACAAATCAGGGCTTTCGTCCCTGAAAAGTTCGGTTGTTAAACATTCACCAGCACACCACCTCGACTTAGGCTGTTCCCTTTTGCCCTTTGCCTTTCGAGGCATGCTTTTTCCGGACTGTGGTAATTAACCATTTCTCGTTGGTCAGTCCTGGTGTTCCAGGCGCACTGGAATGAACGCAGACCCCTGTACTCCGGGCCGGGCCCGGGAGGAGGGGTGGGGCGTGGCCTCTGACGCGGGCCCCGCCCACCGTAGCGTCGCCGAAGTCCGCCCGGACTCCAGCTCTCAGCCGGCGCCGCAGGTGGTGCTTGTCGGGAGAGCCATGGCCAGTAAGTGGCGCGGCCGCGCGCTGCAGCTCGAGCTCGGGCCGGAGGGGAGGCTTTGGAGCGGCGCCGGCGGTGGCTTGGCCGGCTCAGCCCCCCGCCCCGCGTCCCCGCCGTGCGCGGCCTTCCCTGATGCGGGCATTCGCGTGGGTCCGGGATCGCGCGGCGGGGCGGCCGGGCGTACTCCCGGGATTCCGGGCTTCCGGGGTGGCGGGCGAGGCCCAGAAAGCACCAGGCCGCCCGGGCCGCGCCGGCACCCGCCGCGTCCTGCTTGAGAGAGGCTGATGGACGTGTATTTCTCCACGGTGTGGGCCGCGGTGGTAGGATCCGACTCCCTTAGGTGTTTTCAAGTTGCGTGACCTCCTCCAGCACCCCCTGCACAAAGGTGCCCAGGCGGTTCTTCCTTTACCCCCTCACTTTCCAGCTCCAGATTTTGACTTGGATTCTTGCTGTGTCACTTACTTTGTTCAGTGACTTTGTGCAGCTTTCTCCCTGCAAGCCCCGTTTTTTTATCTGTAAAATGATGTTAATGATACCTCACAGAAGTTTATGTGTGAAGGACCTGGCACATTGCTTTAAATTTTATTCCCTTGTTGGTTCCTTCGCTCACAGTGTTTTATTCTTTTTTTGCCTCCCCTTTGTTGGGCCTTCGTTGTTAGATGATGATGAATATTAGGGCAGCCTTAAAAGTCACTGTGTCTCCACTTTACAGATGAGACGGAGTGACTGGCGTCTCGTCCTTAGCGTGAGGAACTGCCCAGTGGCGGGGTCTCCCTGCTGCAGCACGCCTGTAGAGGGGGTCATTTGCAGAATGACAGGCAGTCCTAAGCTTAGTTGAGGACCCCGCCCTTGTGGGTGAGATGTGTGGGAGAGGAAGCCATCAGCATAGCCATGGTGAGCTTTATCTTTCCCACCCTCAGAAGAAGAGACATGGCCAGGCACGTGGCTCACGCCTGTAATAGTAACACTTTGGGAGGCTGAGGCACGAGGATCGCTTGAGTTCAGGAGTCAGAGTTAGAGACCAGCCTGGGCAACATGGCGACACCTGTCTGTACTAAAATTAAATACAAAATTAGCCCGGTGTGGTGGCACGCCCCTGTAGTCCCAGCTTACTTGGGAAGCTGAGGAGGGAGGATGGCTTAACCCTGGGAAATGGAGGGGAGACATTTAGTGGATTTGTCTGCTGTGCTGGTAGCAGCTCAAAATATCTGTTTGCCCCAGAATAATCCCAGCTGTTATTTCCTGTTTAAGTTTCCTTTGTATTCCTTCAGATTCTGTAACTATGTAGCAGGCTGCCTTCAGGGTTAAATTTAGTGCTTCTCACTATATTTAGGATAGATGGAGGAATGGGACATCTGAGTTTTCCTTTTAGTTAACCCTGAGCCGAACAGGCCCTCATCAGAGGCCAGGTTTATCATCGTTGCCGCTTCTGGAGACATTTGCATTGTTACAGGAAACACCCAAAGAGATAGCTCTCTAATGGTAGGATTTTCAGACTGGAGCAGAGGTGGGATGGGGAGTTTGGGCAGGCCATTACTAATAATTCCTGAAGTTTCGCAGAGCTTCAGAGGTTATGATGTGCTTTGGATCCTTTACTGCGGCGTCCCACCAGACCGTGAGCAGGAACTATGTATCCATCAGGGTCCAGGCAGAACGTGGAGACAACACTAGTAACTGGAACAAGGAAATTTATTTATTTATTTATTTTAGAGACTAAGTCTAACTCTGTAGTCCAGGCTGGAGTGCAGTGGCATGATCTTGGCTCACCGCAACCTCCACCTCCCAGGTTCAAGTGATTCTCCTGCCTCAGCCTCCTGAGTAGCTGGGATTACAGGTGCCTGCCACCACACCCAGCTAATTATTGTATTTTTAATAGAGACGGGGTTTCACCGTGTTGGCCAGGCTGGTCTGAAACTCCTGACCTCAGGTGATCCACCTGCCTTGGCCTCCCAAAGTGCTGGGATTACAGGTGTGAGCCACCACACCCGGCAGAAAATTTTATATTAAAAATTATTATCTGGCCAGGCATGGTGGCTCATGCTTGTAATCCCAGCAGTTTGAGAGGCTGAGGCAGGAGGATTGCTTGAGCCCAGGAGTTCGAGACCAGCCTGGGCAACAAAGTGAGATCCTGTCTCTACAAAAAAATTTAAAAATTAGCCAGGCATGGTGGTGCATACCTGTGGTCCCAACTACATAAGAGGCTGAGACATGAGGATTGCCTGAACCCAGGAGGTGGAGGCTGCAGTAAACCATGTTTGTGCCACTGCACTCCAGCCTAGGCGACAGAACAAGACCCTGCCTCAAAGTTAAAAATATTAGCTCATGGAAAGTGATTTTCATAAAAGCTAAAAGGGAACTCTAAAGAACAGAAGAAAAGCAAATAGATGTCTAGCTACCACCTCCAGGAAGGAATAAGCTTGGAAGAGCCGCCAGCCTCCTTGCTCCAGGGCTGAGCACAGACCTTGTCAGGGCTGGCTACATCATTTGTGGGGCCCAATCCCCTTGTTCAGAGAGCAAGGAAAAGTGCTGTTAGCTTTTCCTCCTGCAGTATCTCTCTCAACCTCTCATGGTGTTATTTGCTGTTTAATGTCATGTTCTCTTGGACACAGGAATGTTTATGGGGTAAGTGCAGACTTTTACAGGTGCCTGGGACCCCTGTCCTGTGAGTAGGCATGTGTGCAGCTCACGGGCTGCCAGGGCTTCCCTCTGCCAGCAGCCGGATCAATGTGCTGTGACCCAGCCAGTAGTGGGGAAACTGAGACAGACATCTTCCCTTCCCACGAGCTGGGCTGCCCATGGGAAGCACGTGAGCAACTTCCAAGGAATTGCACTTTCTGTGCTGGGACATGCTCAGTATATGGATTGGAGATAGGCGAGAGGTCCAAGAACAAATAGTAAGGGACAGGACCATATTCAAACCCAGTCTTTTTACTTTAGCCATATTCTCATTTCATTCCCTACACTGCATAGTAAGAAGCTGGTTCGCTCTAGATTCTTGTGCTTGGCATGGGACTTTACCCATGCATATTGCTCTATCTCCAGATAGACTTTAGCACTATTGACATTTTGGACAGGATAATTCTTTGTTCTGGAGGGGGTTGTCCTAGGCATTGTAGGAAGTTTGGCAGTATCCTTGGTCTCTATTCATTAGATGCCACTCATACCTCATCAGTTGTGGCATCAAAGGTGTCTTCAGACTTTGTCAGATGTTCCCCAGGGGACATAACTGCCTTCCATTTGAGAACCATGGCTCTGTCTGAATCCAGCAGTTCAAGCTTCTGACAGCTGTTTTCTTTTGTCTTTGTCCTCAGCTTTCCGCCTGGCCCTCATCCAGCTTCAAATTTCTTCCATCAAATCAGATAACGTCACTCGAGCTTGTAGCTTTATCCGGGAGGCAGCAACGCAAGGAGCCAAAATAGTTTCTTTGCCGGTCAGTATGGGGGCAGCCATCCTGTTCTGGGCTCTGTAGACCCAGCAGAACAGTGTTTGCTAGCTCTGGTGGTCCTCTTGTATCCTGGGGTCGAGCAGTGTCCTTTGGAGCCCATAGATTGTTTTGTGTTTAACTGGAGGATGACCTTAGCAAGGGTCTTTGTAAGGTAGGATGTGCCAACACGGTCATAGGTCTTTAGCTTTTGGATCTTCCTCTTTGTTCAGATGAAGCAGCCAAAATCCTAGTATTTCAAGGGACATACGGAAAACTGAAATACTCAGTGCTTAGACACTTTGTTCCTTATATAATTAAGTCTTTATAGGACCAGACCATGTTGGTTTTAGCACTGAGCCTCCAACATTTTTTTTTTTTAAATGAACTCTGGGAGAGCCCATGTGACTTGTCTCTTCTAACCCACTAGGCTAGCTTTGTAGTCTTGCCTGTGACTACAGGCTGTTTACCCTTGAGATGTCAGTGTTTTTCTTATTAGCTGTGTTTTAACCCTTCCACTGAAAGCAGAGCTAGAAGCAGCAGCTATGGCCTCTTACAGCAGAACTTTAAAATGGATGGGTGTTTTGATCTTTTTTTTTTTTTTTTCTCTGTCAATATTTTTCTAGGAATGCTTTAATTCTCCGTATGGAACGAAATATTTTCCTGAATATGCAGAGAAAATTCCTGGTGAATCCACACAGAAGCTTTCTGAAGTAGCAAAGGAATGCAGCATATATCTTATTGGAGGTAACTTCATACCCACAAGGTATAATGGCCTAAACATTAAAAACATCTGAATGAACCAGGTGTGGTGGCGTGCACCTGGATTCCCTACTTGGGAAGCTTCAGTTTGGGAAGCTGAAGCAGAGAGTTTCTTTTTTTTTTTTTTTTTTTTGAGGTGAGGTCCTGCTTTGTCACCAATGCTGGAGTGCAGTGGTGTGATCATGGCTCAGTGCAGCCTCACCCTACCAGGCTCAAGTGATTCTCCCACCTCTTAGCCTCCTGAGTAGCTGGGACTGCAGGTGTGTGCCACCATGCCTGGCTGATTTTTGTATTTTTTTGTAAAGACGGGGTTTCACCATGTTGCCCAGGCTGGTTTTGAACTCCTAGGCTCACGCAGTCTGCCCACCTTGGCCTTCCAAAGTGCTAGGATTACAGGCGTGAGCCATCATGCCAGGCATGTTTTTTGTTATACTAATAGAGGATTGAGAAAAAAAAATTTTTTCCATAGAGGCCACATACATAAAGGTAACTTTATTTTTGTGGTTTTGGAATAAATGTTTAAAGGTTTTATTTGCTTAAATAAAAAATAAGCATAGAAAAAGTTCTATAAATATAGCAAATAAAATGTTTTCTGTACGATGATATATTAAGAATGAGAAATGAAGGCAAAGCAAGAAGCCTGGAGATGAAACTGCATTCAGTGATGGAGAGGCTTCTGACTTCACATTCTCATCTTTTGGGATACAGTTTTGTTGCAGGACCTGGTGAATTCAAGTTAAGCAATGGGAAATTTTTCATTTTGCCCTAATGTTAGAGATTAAGTGTTGCTCAGGATCATGGCTGAATTTCAGGAACAGTTTGGTTATTTTTTAAGCCTGTCTTTGGCATCTAACCTAATCATATCCCGGCTACACTCTGCAGTTTATCTCTGAAAGATCATATTCAAGAAGGACCAAAAAAAAAAACCATGATTAAATAACCCATAGAAGGGAATACTTATTCTGTATTGTAGAATGAGGTGTTGCCTTATTCTAAAAACAAAATGAATAAATAAACCGTAAAAGATGGGTTCTTTATTTTTGGAACCAAGTTATCAGGCTTTTATCCCTTTCTCACACAAGAATTGTTCTATTCTTTTTCTTATGGTATATTTCTTCTCTCAATGAAAGGCTCTATCCCTGAAGAGGATGCTGGGAAATTATATAACACCTGTGCTGTGTTTGGGCCTGATGGAACTTTACTAGCAAAGTACAGAAAGGTAAGTAGGAAGTGTGGCAGAATAATTTGTTATCTTTAAGCCAGCAACAATGTGTGGAAAAAAAAAAGAATTTGCTATGAAGTCCCCTAGTTCCTCTCATTATATCATACATGTATTAGGGTTTTAACTGATTGGCATAGGTGGTTATTCTCGGCCATCTGCATTTTTATATAAATTTTAGACACAGCCTGTCAATTTCTGCAAAGGAACAACCTATAGTAATTTTTTTTGTTGTTTTTTTGGTTTTATTTTTAGACGGAGTCTGGCTCTGTGGCCCAGGCTGGAGTGCAGTGGTGCAATCTTGGCTCACTGCAAGCTCCGCCTCCTCAGTTCACATCATTCTCCTGCCTCAGCCTCCCGAGTAGCTGGGACTACAGGCGTCTGCTACCACACCCAGCTAATTTTTTGTATTTTTAGTAGAGACGTGGTTTCACCATGTTAGCCAGAATGGTCTTGATCTCCAGCCTCGGCCTCCCAAAGTGATCTGCCTGCCTCGGCCTCCCAAAGTGCTGGGATTACAGGCATGAGCCACCGCGCCCGGCCAACCTATAGTAATTTTTATTAGTATTTCATTGAGTATATAGAGAACACTTTGGGAAGAGTTGCCATCTTTTTAGTATTAAATGCATATACATGGCCAGGTGCAGTGGCCCATGCCTGTAATCCCAGCACTTTGGGAGGTCGAAGTGGGTGGATCACCTGGGGTCAGGAGTTCAAGACCAGCCTGGCCAGCATGGTGAAACCCCGTCTCTGCTAAAAATACAAAAAATTAGCTGGGTGTGGTAGCAGACGCCTGTAGTCCCAGCTACTTGGGAGGCTGAGGCAGGAGAATGGCGTAAACCCGGGAGGCGGAGCTTGCAGTGAGCTGAGATCCAGCCACTGCACTCCAGCCTGGGCGACAGAGCGAGACTCCATCTCAACAACAAAAAAAGATTAAAAAAAATATATATAAAATTGGCTGGGTGTGGTGGCTCATGGCTATAGTCCCTCATGGCTGTAGTCCCACCTACTTGGGAAGCTGAGACAGGAGAATCGCTTGAACTTGGGAGGTGGAGGCTGCAGTGAGCCAAGATCGTGCCACTGTACTCCAGCCTGGGCAAGACAGAGCGAGACTCCGTCTCAAAAAAAAAAAAAATGCATACGTTTAGAATCATTAAGTCTTCTTGATGAGTTAACCCTTTTATCATTATGAAATGTCTCTTTTTTTTCTTGTAATACCTTTTGTCTTGAATTCTGCTTTATCTCTGCTATCACTGTAACCACCCCAGGCTTCTTATGCCTACTGTTTGCTAGTACATGGTTTTTCCAGTTCTTTGTTCTCAAGCTATATGTGTTTTCATATTTTAAGTGGATCTCTTGTCAACAGCATATAATTGTATCTTAATTTTTTCTTTATTCTGACAATCTGTGTCTTTTAATTGAAGTGGTTAGTCCATTTATATTTAATGCACTTATTGATATGATTGAATTTAGGGATACAGACATTTTGCTTTTTTTCCCTTTGTTCATCTTTTCTGTATTATTTTGGATTAATTGAATATTTTTTAGAGTTCTGTTTTAATTTATTTTTTTAGTTATACCTCTTTGCTTTTTTTTTTTTTCTTCCAGTTGTTGCCCTGGGAATTATAATATGCATCCTTAACTTTTCATAGGCTACTTAAGAGTTCATATGATATAACTTTATGTGAATTTTAAGAACCTTATAATGGTATAAGTCCATTTTTCTACCCCACTGCCCCTGCCCTTATTCTTTATGCTATAGTTGTCATTTGTAGTCCATGTATATATGTTATAAATCCAACAAAACAGTAATACTTGATTTAAATAGTCATATGTATTTTAAAGAAATTAAGAAGAAAACAATCTTTATGCTTATCCAAGTATTTATCATTCCTGGTGTTTTTCTTTCCTTCCTGAAGATCCTTCTTCATCTGGTATATCCTTCAGACCGAAGGCCCTCGTTTAGAACTTTTGTACTGAGGATCTGTTAGCTAGGAATTCTGTTCGTTTTTCTTTACGAATATGTCTTTACATTGTTTTCATTCTTGAAAGATATTTTTGCTGGAATAGAATTTTGGATTGATAGTTTTCTTTTTTTTTTCCCACTAGTAGTTGTTATCTAGTCTTTTTTTTTTTTTTTTTTTCCTTCCCTGATGAGAAGTGGGTAGTAATTTGTATTGTTCCCTGGGACATAATTTGTTGTTTTTCTCTTCCTCCTTTGAAGATGTTTTCATAATCTTTAGTTCTTAGTCTTTTGACTTTGATATGCCCAGATGTGGTTTCCTTTGTCTTTGTCTTCCTTGGTACTTCTTGAAACTGTAAACTTAAATCTTTCACTGTGTTTGGGAAGTTTTTTTTGACACTATTGTGTTAAATATTTTTCTGTTCCTTTTTCTTATGGAGCTCCAGTATATATACATTATATTTTTAAATATTTTTTCAGGTCACCAGGCTCTGTTTTTCTGTTTTTGTTTTTCCAATACTTTTTCCTTCTCTTCTACAGATTAATTTCTGTTGATCTTTCAGACTTATTCACTGTTTCTTCTGTCTTGTTCAATTTCCTGTAAGCCAACACAGTGACATTTTAAAAAAATTCAGATATTAAAATTTTCAGTTCTGAAATACCCTTTTGTTTCTTTTTTATAGTTTTTAGTACTCTACATTTTCTGTTGGTTCATTAAAAGCATATTTTTCTTTACACTCTTGAGCTTAGTCAGTTTCTATAGCTGCTTTAAAGTCTGATAATTATCACATCTGTGTGCCACAGAATGAGACTCTTAGGCCTTTAAAAGGCCTTTGATGTAAATAAACTCATGTCTAAACAAACAACAACAACAAAATTGTAACATCTGGGTCATGGCAGGATCTGTGTTCATTTGATTGCCTTTTCTTTGCAGTTTGAGTCACACTTCTGTTTCTTTGAGTATCTACTAATTTAAGATTGTATAGTGGATTATATGTTGTAGAGATTCAAGATTCTATTATAGTCTTCCAAAAAGTGTTGAATATTTTGTTTTAACTGATGGTTAACTTGGTCGCACTCAAACACCAAACTCGCATCTTCTTTGTAACGTGGGCAGCAGCTTTAGCTGCTCTGTTCTATCTGGTTGTTCTGCCCTACTTCTGTTTAACTCAGTGATCAGCCAGAGATTTAGAAAGATTTTATATGTAGAATTTAGGGCTCTTGACTCTTTGCTTTCTCCATTTCAGGATTTCCTCCCTTGGTTCCAGCTCTGGTTTTCAAGCCAGTGTGATTATGGGTAATTTTCACCCCACTTATCACAGCAGCTAAGACCTTGCTTCAGGGTAACAGTGGTAAATAGAACCGGGAAGTTCATCCAGGGCTGTTCCCTGCTTCCACATGTTTGTGTTCTTCTCTTCAGGTTTTGCCTGCTTTGTTTTGGTCATTCTTCAGTGCTTTAAGTAGTTGTGCCTTTTATTTTGCCCAGAGTTCATAGTTAACTACAAGAGAGCTGGTCTGATAGGAGCTACTGTGCACCTGCTGGAAGGACAGCCAGCACTGGGCTATTAACCCAACTCTTTGAAATACATCTTTTTAGTATTAAGTTTTCCATCCCATGAATGTGGTATATATCCTGACATTTATTACGCTTTCTTTACTTTCTCTCAATTTCTTTTTATAGTGTTTTGGGTATAATTTTGTATAACATTTGTGAGATTTATTCCTCATTGGTGTTTTTAGATGCTTTTTCATTTTCTGTTTTGTTGTTGTTGTTTTGTTTTTTTTTGGTTTTTTTTTGAGATGGAGTCTTGCTCTGTTGCTTAGGCTGGAGTACAGTGGTGTGATCTCGGCTCACTGCAACCTCCACCTCCCTGGTTCAAGCCGTTCTCTTCTTTCAGCTTCCCAAGTGGCTGGGATTATAGGCACACACCACCATGTCTGGAAAATTTTTGTACTTTTAGTAGAGACAGGGTTTCACCATGTTGTCCAGGCTGGTCTTGAACTCCTGACCTCAGGTGATCTGCCTGCCTTGTTCCTCCCAAAGTGCCGGCCCATTTTCTGTTTCTTGCTAATATATAGAAGTAGAGCAAGTTTTTAAAATATTGACTCTGTGGTGAGGCACGGTGGCTCCTGGCTGTAATCCCAGAACTTTGCGAGGTAGAGGCAGGCAGATTGCTTGAGTTCAGGAGTTGGAGACCAGCCTGGGTAACATGGCAAAACCCCTTCTCTACAAAAACTACAAAAGAAATTAGCTGGGGTGGGGGTGGGGTATGCCTGTAGTCCCAGCTACTCAGGAGGCTGAGGTGGGAGGATCGCTTGAGCCTGGGAGGACAAGCCTGCAGTGAGCCAACATCACACCACTGCACTCCAGCCTGGGTGCCAGAGCACGACTCTGTCTCAAAAAAAATTTTTTTTAATGAAAAAAACTTACAGCAACCTTGCTAAACTCACTCATTAATTCTAATAATTTGTCTGTAGATTTTTTAAAATTTCTAGGTACATAATTATATCATCTGAGAATAATGACAGATTTCATTTTTTCTTTTCAGTTGTTACAGTTTTTACTTCTTTTCTTTTCTTTCTTGCTCTGTTTAGGCTCTCTGGTACCTGTACCAAGCAGGTGTCCTTGTCTTGTTCCCAATCTCAGTGGGAGAGTTTTCAGTATTTCATCATCAAGTATGATGTTTGTTTAGGTGTTTTGCAGATAGTCTTGATCAGATTAATAAAGTTCCCTTCCTAGAAGTTTTTCTTTCTGTTTTTTTTTTTTTTTTTGAGACGGAGTCTCTCTCTGTCGCCCAGGCTGGAGTGCAGTGGCGCGATCTCGGCTCACTGCAAGCTCCGCCTCCCGGGTTCACGCCATTCTCCTGCCTCAGCCTCTCAAGTAGCTGGGACTACGGGGGCTCAGCACCACGCCCGGCTAGTTTTTGTATTTTTAGTAGAGACGGGGTTTCACCATGTTAGCCAGGATGGTCTCGATCTCCTGACCTCGTGATCCGCCCGTCTCGGCCTCCCAAAGTGCTGGGATTACAGGCGTGAGCCACTGTGCCTGGCCTCTGTTTTGTTTTTTAAATCGGGAATGGCTTAGAAGTTTACCAAATGCTCATACATCTTTTGAGATGATCATGTGATTTTTTCTTCTTTATTTTGTTACTTTAGTAAAATCGATTGATTTTCTAATCTTAAACAGCATTTGTTTTCTTTGAATAAATCCAATTTGGAAGTGATGCATTATTCTTTTGCTGAATTTGGTTTGCAGAATTTTTACCTATTTTTAAATGCCCACCCACTTTCCACCTCTCCTGTCAATTTGTCAGTTTGATTCTGATAAGTCTTTTTTTTTTTGAGACAGAGTCTTGCTCTGTCACCCAGGCTGGAGTGCAATGGCGCAATCTCGGCTCACTGCAACCTCCACCTCCCAGGTTTGAGCAATTCTCCTGCCTCAGCCTCCTGAGTAGCTGGGACTATCGGCGTGCACAATCACCCCTGGCTAACTTTTCTTCTATTTTTAGTAGAGACAAGGTTTCATCACATTGGCCAGGCTGGTCTCAAACCCCTGACCTCAGGTGATCCACCCACCTTGGCCTCCCAAAGTGCTGGGATTACAGGCGTGAGCCACCATGTCCAGCCTGACTCTGAGAAGTCTTTATTTAGTGCATATATATATATGTATATATATATATTTTATTTTTTTTTTTTTTGAGACGGAGTCTCACTCTGTTGCCCAGGCTGGAGTGCAGTGGCGCTATCTCGGCTCACTGCAAGCTCCGCCTCCCGGGTTCACGCCATTCTCCCACCTCAGCCTCCGGAGTAGCTGGGACTAGAGGCGCCCGCAACCACGCCCGGCTAATTTTTTGTATTTTTAGTAGAGACGGGGTTTCACCGTGTTAGCCAGGATGGTCTCGATCTCCTGACCTCACGATCCGCCCGTCTCGGCCTCCCAAAGTGCTGGGATTACAGGCTTGAGCCACCGCACCCGGCCTAGCGTTTATATTTTTAAAAAGCAACACATTAGTTACCTGCCATGAGAAACCTAGAGGTTGATTTGCATACCACATATAAAATAGGGGTTATAAAAGGTACAGCATCATTTTTCCAGTTCCCTGTGGTAGAATTCATTTTGATAAGGTGTCAGTCAGCTTGTGGGGTGGATTATGAGCAGTCTGGGGGTACTCTTCACATAGTTGATCTTAGAGCACCTTCTGTATCCACCCAGGGAAAGATATTGTCGTTACTGCCATTCCATTTTACGTGCTGGAAAAGAGGTAATCAAATCCATTATTTGTGATGCAGATCCATCTGTTTGACATTGATGTTCCTGGAAAAATTACATTTCAAGAATCTGAAACGTTGAGTCCGGGTGATAGTTTCTCCACATTTGATACTCGTATGTACCAGATAAGTTTGCCTCTTTAGCAATCTCAGTAGAAGACAATCAGGTATTTATTTCTTTTTTGTCTCTCTCCAATTTCTTCACATAACCTAACTGAAAGACCGTAAGTGAGAAAGGCAGAGAATTATCACCGATCTAGAAAGTTCGGCCTTATTTGAGAACTAAGGATTTGACACGATTTTGCCCTTTGAGTTGATTGTAGCCTCCTGTTATGGCTTCCAGAGTATACCTATTAGGCCATGGTTGAGTACCTCCCATCTAGATAATAAGCATTCAGTTAGAATGCATTTCTCATCTTTACTCTGCTGATGCAAATGATGTCTTTATGAGATGAAGTCCAAGTAGGAATGAGCTCGTCCATGGTCTCTGTCCTCAGGTCCTGTGTTAATTTATCCCTGTCAGTGTTTTGTGATCATTAAGTCATGGAGGGGCTCCTCTGCCACACCACGCTGTAGGGAGTTAACTTTCCACGTGTGCGTTTTCTGTTTGGAAACAGCTTACTGCAGAGTGGGTCTGGGCATCTGCTACGACATGCGGTTTGCAGAGCTCGCACAAATCTACGCACAGAGAGGTGAGGCACTGCAGCAGCTGTGTTACGTGGGTGCTTGGAGGCTTGGTTCTAGGCTGGTCTAGGTGGGATCCTTAGTCAATAAAAGCTGGGAGGGGGCTCTTTCATCTCTCCATCACCAGCCCTTTCACCCCCTTGAGGCTTCCCAGACTTTTGCTGCGTGTGGATAACAGGGTTTTTCAGGGATTGTGATTAAACACATCATGTAAGGTAGGAGCTATGCTCATAAAGGTCTGGTCTACCCTTGAGTCCTTCTTGTTACTGTGTTCGGAGAGTCACTTGAAGCCCAGTAGAAATGAAGTGGATTTCACCACTCAGTACCCCTAGACACTGGGTGGAGTGGAAATGTAGTCTGTGATATTTCGGTCCAGACGAGGAGAAATGTGCCAGTGTCTGGGAAGAGCCAGTTCAAAAGATGTGGGTTCTAGTTCCAACTCTTCCCTTTAATTGGCACAGTGCTTTGGTGAAATGATTTAACCTCTAGAGCAGTGTGGTTCTCAGTTTAGTCACAGGAATGATATGAGGAGTAAGAAGAGAGAACCTATAAGCCCCTCGTGTGGTACTCAACAAATCCCAGCATCCTTACTAGACTGCTTGAAGCTACTTCCAAATAGACTGTCACTTAACCAAGTGAAGCGGGTGGAAATGGTTTGACTGCCTGCTCAGAAGGGGGAGGTGCATGGGCTCTGGGGTCAGTAGTCTCTGTTGAGCCATATATCAATAAGCATTAGGGCAACTACTCTGCCCCTAATTTCAGTTGAAAAGAATTACAAAAAGTGATCATTGGCCATGTGGAGCTGACATATGGAGCTGAGAGAAATTTGTTTTTTTGTTTCTGTTTTGTTTTTGGGTTTTTTTGGGAGACAGAGTTTAGCTCTTTCACCCAGGCTGGAGTACAATGGTGTGATCTCAACTCACTGCAACCTCCACCTCCCAGGTGATGCACCCGCCTGGCCATAATTTCGAGGCCAGACTGGTCTCGAACTCCTGACTTCAGGTGTATACCCGCCTCGGCCTCCCAGAGTGCTGGGATTACAGGCATGAGCCACTGCGCCCAGCCAGAGCTGAGAGAAATGTGAATGACAGTTCTCTACCTTATTTTTGTTTGTTTGTTTTGAGGCAGGGTCTCACTGTCACCCAGGCTAGAGTGCAGGCGTGATCCTGGCTCACTGAAGCCTTGGTCTCCTTGGCTGAAGTGATCCTCCCACCTCAGCCTCCCAAGTAGCTGGGACGCCACCACACCTGGCTAATTTTTAAATTTTTTGTAGAGATGGGGTCTCTCTGTGTTGCCCAGGCTTTCTGTACTTTTTTTTAAGTGAAGTTGATGCCGGTGGGCTAGGGGAGGCCCCCAAACACCAGTAGGACCTTGACCCCAGCCATGTCCATGCTACACTATTGCAAGAAGGAATTCAAGAATGAGTCAGAAAATAGTGAAAGTATGGAGATTTATTGCAACTATCATGGCACTGTTGGGTGTGTGATTTAGTATGTTAATGAGCTTATAATGAGGATAATGAGGTCCTAGGTGAAACCTAGGTCAAATCCAGCACCATATTGAGTCCACTGGGTCTTAGCCCTGGTTTCTCAGGGTCTTAGCCCCTAGCTTATACAGCCATTTCAACAGTTGCTTTTTGCTAGTCATATGAAACTGCTGCGTAGAATTTTCTGTTCTCTTGCAACCATCCTGTATTATTTCTGTCTCAAGGTCACATGTGATTTTGGTCATCAATACCACTTTTCTTGTGTGTCCATATGTGTGTGACTTTTAAAGGAATTCAGAGCCATATCTTAATTGCTGCTGGCACTGTCTGACTTGGCTGACATCTTCTTGTGTTTGGGAAAGTTTGAGTTCAGTCCCTGCTGGCTAAGGAACAGTGGGGAGGACTGGTGGTGCTGGGTGCTCACTGCATCCACTGTCCTTTGGCTTTTCTCTCCACAAGGCTGCCAGCTGTTGGTATATCCAGGAGCTTTTAATCTGACCACTGGACCAGCCCACTGGGAGTTGCTTCAGCGAAGCCGGTAAGAAAGGAACCATATATTCAAGCCTCTCGGTATGTCCTCTTTGTGGAAAGATTTCCGGTTGGGTGGAGGTGCCAGCCTTCCTGATGTGGATTCTGTCCCTGACTTAGGATGCCCTTGTATCCAAATGCGGTTGGAAAGGATGAAGCTGTAGGGAGGACTTCTACTGCTGGGCACTTTCTCCTCAGAAGCCACAGTACTAACCTCATGGATTTTGGAAACTGTCCTTTTTTTTTTTTTAAGAGACGGGGTCTTACTGTTGCCCAGGCTGGAGTGCAGTGGTATAATCATAGCTCATGACAGCCTTGAAATCCTGGGCTCAAGAGATCCTCCTGCCTCAGCCTCCTGAGTAGCTGGGACTACAAGCATGCGCCACCATGCCTCGCTAATTTTTTATTTTTTGTAGAGATAGAGCCTCACTCTGTTGACCAAGCTGGTCTCAGTCTCCTGGCCTCAAGTAATCTTCCCGCCTCAGCCTCTCAAAGTGCTGGGATTACAGGCGTGAGCCCCAAGCCCTGCCGGAACTGTGGTTTTGGCATTTCAATATTCAGTGTCTTAGATGGGTAGTGATTTCATTTTTCTGTGATTAGATGTGGATTGTTCCCTCTTACGTCAGTTCCAGCAACTTTTACAGAGAAATTGAGAACCACGGAGCTTATGTCTTCAGAGCCCCAGCAGCCAATGAAAAGGCAGGGATTAGTTTAGCTTGACCTAGGGAGAGATCTGTGGTCTGTACCCAGCTGATTCTATGCCATTCAGATCAGGATGCTTATCCTACCCCCTCCTTCACACCGTCCTACTAGTCCTGACGGTACTGTGCCAAGAAACTCACTAGAAGCTCTTGTTCTTCTAACCTGTAACTCCAGGGCTTTGCACAAGCATCTTTGGCAGGTCACAGGTGCCTTTCCTTAGTCTTCTAAGGCTGAGAGGTGGTAAAGGGCAAGTAGCACAGGCGGACGTAAGATGGAAGGGAAAATGAGTGTGGCTGTGTGTGTGAGTGTGTCTGTCTGTCAAGTGCTCTACAGCCCATGAAATGCTGGTCAGAGATGAGGGTTTTCTTTAGAATTTTTAAAAGTTGAAGTAATACAAGAAAGTGTACTAATTTTAAGCATATAGGTTGGTAAAGTTTTGTGTGTTCACCTGCCACCAAGATGAACATACAGAACATTTCCGGCCCCCGAGGATGCTCCCTTTTCTGCCCCTTTCTAGTCAATACTCCTCCCTCTGCCTAGAGGTAGCCGCTCTTCTCACTTCTAGAGATGGTGGTAATTTGTAATGGAAAGGAAAGAGGTTTTAGCTGCTTGCATGGTGGAAGATGGGGGTAGGGGTATAAGATGCCATGAGTATTAATGAAGGTACAGTTTTGTCAAAAGAAAGAAAAGTTTCTGGGATACTGACATGACCCAACATGGGTCCATGAAGTCTGGAGGGCTCCCAGGGGAGGTGGTTTGATGTACCTGGACTGCGAGCTGCCATTTTTGTTCTATTTGAGGTGGTGGGACTGCCACCATGGGCACGGAAGCACCATGCGGCCTGCAAGGTGTATTGCTCTCATGAGGCCACTCCCGTTCTCTCCGGCCACCTTGACTTGCTTTAACCAGAGAAGCTCCTCTCTTATGTTAGCTTACGGCGGGTATCTCAGCAGCGGCACTGTTGACATTTAGGTGTGTAATTCTTTGGGGGCTTATCCTGTGCACGGTAGGATGTTTGCAGCATCCCTGGTCTACCTACTCGATGTCAGTAGCATCTCCTTAGTCATGACAGTCAGGAAGATCTCCAGACATTGTCAAATTTGGTGGACAACATTGCTCCTTCTTGAGAACCACTGGCTTATGCAGTAATGTAACTTTAAAGAGAAGGTTCCATGGCTCTGGCTTCCTTCTACATCTGAGTTAGCCTGAACTGTCCTATTTTTTAAAAGAAGGATCTATCTACTTGGGTTAGAAAAATGTCAGATTTATAATGTATGATTTACCTCTTCCCTGTCTGTTGACTACAGGGCTGTTGATAATCAGGTGTATGTGGCCACAGCCTCTCCTGCCCGGGATGACAAAGCCTCCTATGTTGCCTGGGGACACAGCACCGTGGTGAACCCTTGGTGAGTGAGGCTAAGTGAGAACAGGCTCAGTCGGAGCTTCAGAGGTGGCTCATTGGCAGATGGGTGTTCCAGTTCCTGAGCAGCCAGGCGCCCACCTCTCACTCCCATTTCCCCACATATCCTGCCAGCGTTCTGTCTGTCTCTGTGAGGAGCTTCCACTTGAAAACCGTGTGGAAAGGAATCACCCTGCTCTCACGATCAAGCACTTGGCCTCAGCCCTCTCCTGAGCTTCTGGTGACCTCCATTGTCGGTCATACTTGGATCCCATGGGGAAGCAAGGCAGCAGTGACAGGCAGGTTGTAGTAAGAGACTGACATTTTTGGTTAAAATTTAAGTTGGCTGGCTAGTCCCAGGGTAGGAATGAGTTACAGGGGGAGGACTTTGCTCCCAGTATAATGGCCAGAGGAGCAGTAAGGATGGGTTCAGTAAGTGAAACTATGACCCTCTCCCCTACAAAAGGGTGAAGCATTTGATTCCTCAGTGGAGCCAGCACGTAAGCCTGCCCAGACACGGGTACAGACATACGCTCATACACATTCCTTATGGTCTACATTTGTACAGTTTACATCGTACTTTCACACACATGGTCTCAACTTGAACTCCCGGGAACTTGTTCTTATTAAGCCCAGTTTATAGATGGTAGAATTACAGAGCTGAAGTGGCTAGAAATAGTGTTTGAATCCAGGACATCTGCCTTCAGAACTTGGATGTGTTCCACACTAGTTCTCTGTTCGAAAGCACGCACACACACTGGTATGTGTGTCTACATTTCCGGATGAGTATACCAGTAACAAGACTGAGAAGAGTGAAATATTGCTGTGGGGTTTCTGAGGGCTTCTCTCTTCTGCCTTTATAGGTAGGGCTCAGCTCAATGTGTGTGGTGGGGAGGCCTTGGAAGTATGACTTGTGTGAGATTCCAGTTGGCCTCCTGCATATTAGGCTTGAGGAGGGACATTGAAGGACTTAAGTTGCCTTGAAAATTTTCTTGAACTTGCATCAAGTTCCACTGTCCAGAGATCTTTGAAGGCCAGGGCAAATGGGGAAGAATCAGAAAATAATTCAGTTACATGTCATAAATGGTGGTGCTTGTAGCTCATTTGTGCCAAAAGTCTGTTTGTGGCTATCAGGTAAACAGAATCAGTTGTTATGTCAGATTATTTTGGAGAAGCTTCATTTCTCTAGATAAGGGTTTGAACCCTTGCTCTGGGCCAAGAGACTAAGCACTGAAGCCAGTTTCTTTCTTTCTTTCTTTCTTTCTTTTGTTTTGAGATGGAGTTTCACTCTGTCGCCCAGGCTGGAGCGCAGTGGTGCAATCTCAGCTCACTGCTGCAACCTCTGCCTCCCAGGTTCGAGCCATTCTCCTGCCTCAGCCTCCGAGTAGCTGGGATTACAGGTGCACACCACCATGCCCAGCTAATTTTTATATTTTTAGTACTGATGGAGTCTTGCTTTGTTGGCCAGGCTGGTCTCGAACTCCTGACCTCAAGCGATCCACCCACCTTGGCTTCCCAAAGTGCTGGGGTTATAGGCATGAGCCACCGCACCCTTCCTGGAGATAGTTTTACAGGTCAGCCTTACCCTGGATTTATGAAGGAGGGTGGCTGTTCTCTAGTGCAGGGCTCCTGCCAGTGCGAGGTTATCCTCCATCCCCCACACCACTTCTACCCAGTCTTCAGAGGTTGAACTCTTTTCCCTCAAATCTGAACTGAAGCCCATTAACACAGGGGTTCAGGCATCACAGCCACCAGGGCACAGACCCCAGCAGATCTGGGGCCCTGCCTAGGCCCAGCTTCATCACGCTTACGTAGGGTAGCAGCCCAGGCAGGTATGAAGACAGGTCTGGACTGCCCTTGTAAAGGGGTCCACTGAATTGCACTCATGAGGGCATGAGATGGAGCTTCCCGTTGGTTGTAGGTAGCTCTATTCCCAGATCTTTATAACCATCAGATAACCACCATCTCCTAGTGGTTTGCAGTTTATGAAACATGATCCACAATTTTATCACTAAGCCCTCACAGAGCTTATTTCCACTTTATAGATTAGGAAATGGAGATTTAAAATACCTTGCTATAAGGTCACAGAGTTACCTAAATGATAGGACAGAAATCTGTACCACTACCTTCTTGTTTTCAATCTCATGCTTTTCCCTTTGGCCTGTGAGCTTGGGAGGAAAAAACAGACCTTGAATATCACCAAACATCAGTGAATCCACTCATTCTCTTCTGCATCTTTTTCAGGGGGGAGGTCCTAGCCAAAGCTGGCACAGAAGAAGCCATCGTGTATTCAGACATAGGTAAGATTTTCCCAGATATGGTTTAGGTCTCTGATGTCCCCATTGTTCTGAGGCCAGACTCCGTAGCTGGGAAGTCCCTGTCATTTGTAGGGGTTCCTTTATGCCCCTCCTCATTGATCTCTGAGGATATTCTAGGGTCTGGTTCTCTGGCCAAGCCCTGGGGAGTATATCAGCTTGAGTTTTCTTGGTTTGGTTTGAAAGGATGCCAGGCCATCTGTGCCCCTAGATAAGACCTATGTTACTAAGTTACTCACTAAGACTCTGGTGGTTTATACAGTGTGGGGAAGAAATCCCCTTGGTTAGTGAGGAGTTGCAAATTATTAATAGTGTACTTTCCCGTTTTTTGCAGACCTGAAGAAGCTGGCAGAAATACGCCAGCAAATGCCCGTTTTTAGACAGAAGCGATCAGACCTCTATGCTGTGGAGATGAAAAAGCCCTAAAGTTTATGTTTCTAATGTGTCAGAACAGGAAGATATGATTCTACAGCATAATCAACTCCCTATTAAATTCTTTCATGAAGGTTTTTGTTTTTGTTTTTAAACTCAGCCTGGTCCTTCCTAGGTTCTCTATTGAGATGACAAAGCCTCATTATGCTGACATTTTCCACACCACATTAAATCGTTAAGAAGGATGTAGCCTGGAGCCCGAGAGCAGAAACCTGGGCTGGTTCTGAAGCTTCTTCCGTACTTAAGTTGCCTCCAAGCAGTTTGTGAAAGTATCAGATCTTGGTATCCTGGTGATTGAGTCACCTAATATAAATATATTTATGTCATGAACCTCTTATCCCATTGCTGGAGTTGGAATCTTCATCATGTAGAAAACGTGGTCTGGTGCTATTCTTTTCCAAGCAGTACCTTGAAGTTCCATTTTTGGTTCATGAGTAGCTACAGGACGCAAGGTGACACATCTTTGGTGTTTGCCAGAGAAGTTGGCAGCCCCACGCCTCTTACCAGCCTTTGGGCTCTTCAAATTTAAAAAGGAGCTGCTCATCCAACCCCAGGCCCTCCGGGTCTTGGAGGAAGGACTGGGTCAACAAAGAGCCCCATGGGAGAATGGCAGTGGTGCCATTAGTGAAGGCAATTTAGTATGAATCTCTGCAAAAGATTTTTTTGATAGCGTTGAGTGTCCGAAAGTTCCATTATTTTTCTTTTTTCTTTTTCCCCAGTAACACTTTCTAGCTCCACAGATAAACAATCACTGAACCTAGTAGTTCTTAGACAGTCTGGTTTGAGAATCCTTTTGTGGTTAAAAATTAGGGACTGAGCCAGGCGCAGTAGCATGTGCCTGTAGTCCTAGCTACATTGGAGGCTGAGGCAGGAGGATCCCTTGAGTCCACAAGTTTGAGGTCAGCCAGAGACTGACTCTCTCTCTGTCTGTCTCTGTCTGTGTCTCTCTCTATATATATAAATATATGGAAATATATATATATATACTTCTGGAAAACAACACTGTGTACTGAGAACAAGAGAAAGACAAATGACTTTTTTTTTTTTTTTTTTTTTTTGAGACGGAGTCTCGCTCTGTCGCCCAGGCTGGAGTGCAGTGGCCGGATCTCAGCTCACTGCAAGCTCCGCCTCCCGGGTTCACGCCATCTCCTGCCTCAGCCTCCCGAGTAGCTGGGACTACAGGCGCCGCCACCTTGCCCGGCTAATTTTTTGTATTTTTTTAGTAGAGACGGGGTTTCACCGGGTTAGCCAGGATGGTCTCGATCTCCTGACCTCATGATCCACCCGTCTCGGCCTCCCAAAGTGCTGGGATTACAGGCTTGAGCCGCCGCGCCCAGCAGACAAATGACTTTTTAAAATTAAGTTTTAAATTTACAATTGATGCATAATTTTACTTTAAAAAAATAAGTGTGCAATTTGGTAAACTTTGACATATACAGCTGTAAACCACTCCAATCAAGATAACATATTTACCACACCCAAAAGTTTCCATGTGCTCTATTATAATCCCTCTGGCTAGTCCTCTGTCAATCACTGATAAATTTTATTACTATAGATTAGCTTGCATTTTCTAAAATTATATAAAAATGAAATCATGCCATTTGTGCTTTTTCTCTGTCTTTTCTCAAAATTCTTTCACTCAAAATTACATACTCTGTATGTCTTCTTTCACTCAAAATTACTTCTTTCATTTTTAGACAGAAGCAATCAGACCTCAAAATTACTTGGAGATTCATCTGGTGTGTGCATTAGTAATTCATAATTCATTCCTTTTTTATTGCTGAGTAGTACACAATTTGTTTATCCATTTACCTGCTGTTGGAGATTTGGGCTATTTCCAGATTTTGGCTGTTGCAAAAAAGCAACCTCACAGATCCTTTTAAAGGTGCTTTCAGGTAACCCTAGTGACTATGGTACCACTGCTCTCTATCCTAGCAGGCACACTGAAATAGTTAAACCTTGCAATAGTGTGAAATCATTTTCTTTTTAAACAATGTATTTCCTTATTTTTACATATTTTACTCTAGTCTCATGACAGATTACATTTTCTTTTTTAAATAGAAAGTCTTACTGTAAAGCCCCCATCTGTATAAAAAAATGAAAGATCTGGTTGATGTGGATGTGTGGAACCCAGGAACCCTCTCTTGGATTTTCTCTTACTCCCCAAAAAACTTCCTTTCCTCCAAAGAGCTGCTCAGAAGTTTGAAAACCAGTGGACAAGCCATCCTAACTGTCTTGATGCTACAGAAGCAAAGACGCCGTACAGAGATGTAGCATTCCTGTAACAGGTAAGGCAGGTGGATGCTAAAACTCTTTTTTTTTTGAGAGAGAGTCACGCTGTTGCCCAGGCTGGAGTGCAGTGGCATGATCTCGGTTCACTGCAACCTCTACCTCCTGGGTTCAAGCAATTCTCAGGCCTCAGCCTCCTGAGTAGCTGAGACTACAGGCATGTGCCACCATGCCTGGCTAATTTTTGTGTTTTTAGTAGAGATGGGGTTTCACCATGTTGGCCAGGCTTGTCTTGAACTCCTGACCTCAAGTGATCCACCTGCCTTAGCCTCCCAAAATGCTAGGATTACAGGCGTGAGCCACCGCGCCCGGCCTAATTTTTGTATTTTTAGTAGAAATGGGGTTTCACCATGTTGGCCAGTCTGATCTTGAACTCCTGGCCTCAAGTTATCCACCAGCCTCGGCCTCCCAAAGTGTTGGGATTACAGGCGTGAGCCACGGCACGCAGCCTTTTGTTTTTATGTATTTCATTAAATGAATTGTCCTTTTAGTGGCATATCAGGTGATCTTGCCTTCTGGTACTCTTGAAAAATATGAAAAGAAACCAATGAAGTAGGCATCTCCTGTAATTAGTACGTAGCATTTTATTCTTAGAAAATGTGTGGTGCCCTGGCCCTGGATTTTACCTCTTTGCAAAGTGGTATCTGAATACAATGAACACTAGATTCCCACTTGGAGTGGAAGAACATTGCAATTGAGGCCATGGGTAAGTTTTAACTGCCACACCCCTGTACTCTCGGACTTTCTAATGAATTAGACGATGTTTTATTTTTGTTTTTGCATAACATTTTGAAGTCTGCTATCACAAGTTGTGAACCAATATCTCTTGCAGTTTAGGTAAAAGGCAGAGCATTTAATGACTTCACATTTAAGTGAATTCCTCACAGGGATGATGACCTCTGCTGAAACAGGCCAGGATGTGCAGTTTGTGGTGACAGTTCTACCTGACTTTGACCTAGCTGTCTGAAGCTGAGAGCTCACAGATAATGAGTGCTGCATTGGTTGCAAATGAATAAACAAATAACATTATGGGGTTTTAAATGACCAAGGAGTAGATTGTGACATCGACTGGGTATTTAGGGAAGGACTCCTTCCTGATACCAAAAGTTAGGTCTGTGCAAAGTATACCAAGTGAAAAAAAAGTTCAGAAAAGAGTTTAGGTTTCAACATAAATGTTGTTCATTTGATTATGAATCAACTGTGAAGTAAATCATTGAACAAGAAGCACTATGTACTATCTACTGTTGGCACTGGTGTTAAGTCTTTTGTGCTACTTTTTAGGCATTGCTGTGTAAGTTTTGGTGGCGCGTGGGTACAGTGAAGCCAGGAGGGATAAAAAGGGAAATGACGCGTGTGCTACAGGCTAAGTAGGGGCTCTTCCTTATGCCTCCTAACCACCTGTGTGACAGTTTCACATTTCCTATCAAATGACCTTCATTCATTTCTACTTGCGAAGTTTGGAGACTAAGAAAAAGCCAGCTGTTGGAAGAGAAAGCACTTTAGGATAAAATGGTCTTGTTAAAATCACCCATTAATAAGTTCAGCCCCTGATGTACAAATAACCAAAACACATACATACAAAGATAGTGCTTCTTGTTCAATGATTTACTTCACAGTTGATTCATAATCAAATGAACAAGAATCTGCAAGAATAGAACATGGAGGGCAGGCTCCAGGAATTCCAAATGTCATCCTAGCTCTTCCTGAAGCATATTGAATCCTCCAAGTATACCCCGTTGTGCTAACTAGGCTTTAAGTCTTTTGTTTGTAGATTCATTCTCAAGGTTTCTCCTTCAGAACAAAGATCATGCCATCCTCTAAACTACTCTGATTTTTTTCACCAAATTTCTTGGTTTCTTTCACTTGCTTTTCAGACCCCCGCAGCCAGATTCTACCCTCATCTTTCCAATGACACTCTTGTGGCAGATTATACTAAAGACCAATTTGTAGACCTGTCCACGTGGCCTCTCTCAAACTCAACACCATGGATGTGACGTTCATACTGCCTCTCTGACCACTTAACATCGTCCCTTAGATGTCAAAGGTCCTTATATTAATAGTTTTATTTTTAGCTCCTTTACATTTTACATTTTGTCCTGAGTCATCTCAGCTACATGCATGGTCTTAAATATATGCTGATAATTCTCATTCACGTAGCTCTCCTGCTGGCTTTTCCCCACTCGTTTAAGAACAACTTCACTTTGCTGGACTCCACCTTGAGTGTCTCATTTTCCGCTCACACTCATGCTGTGCCTTTACTTAGATTTGTTGTGGTTGTTTCCCCACAATCTGGAAAGCTCCTTACCTAAATCCTATTTATTCCTTAATGCTTAGCACAATGTATTACTCTTGTTTGCATGGCACATTGTACTTCTGTTTTAGAGACTACCTTCCTCTGAAGCATATGGCAGGTTCATTTACTATCCAGCCCACCACAACTCAGTTTTTGAGCTCCTCTGTGTTCATCTTTTTATGGCCAACCCTCACCGTCATGAGTGCTTAGTAAATGTTGAGTTGGAATGAATTTATTCCTACAGGTTGCACTTGTTCTCTCGCCAAGTTTTCAGGCCAAATAATTCTGGAATGATTTCCTTACCTTAAGGGAGTCTGATCTGGGAAGAGCCTGGGACGTGATGTAACTTCATATGCTGTAGAGCTGAATATTCATTTACTTAAGATCTTAGCTCTGTTAGAAAGCAGTGTTGATTCAGAGGCCGGGCACGGTGGCTCACACCTGTAATCCCAGCACTTTGGGAGGCCGAGACGGGCAGATCACTTAAGGTCAGGAGTTCGAGACCAGCCTGTCCAACATGGCAAAACCCCATCTCTACTAAAAATACAAAAATTAGCCAGGTGTGGTGGTGCATGCCTGTAATCCCAGCTACTCGGGAGGGCAAGGCAGGCGGAGGTTACAGTGAGCCAAGATCACACCACTGTACTCCAGCCTGGCCAACAGAGTTAAACTGTGTCTCAAAAAAAAAAAAAAAAAAAAAGCAGTGTTGATTTAGAGCTAAGGTCACCTGATGCTCAGGCCAGTAATATTTCTCCCTGCACCATGCTCTTGTCCACAGCAGACACTGTAATGCTCTACACTGGTGAAAAACTAAGCTTGAGATGCACAAAAGAACACATAGAGATGGGAGGTCAGTTCTCCATACATTTTGTGAGTAGAGGCGTTGGTGTTTTGTTCCAAACTGTCCAATCGAGAATGTCCATACAATGACCGCTTTGGAAGATGGAGACTGTCTTCCTCTGGAGCATAGGACGGGTTTGTTTACTATCCAATACATTTAAAAAAGTGTTTCCCTCTGAGGCAAAACTCAGGCCAGTTTGCTTGTGGCCTCATTAGATGTGGGCTGTGGCACAAACCCACTGCATATGCAGTGTCTACCTAGATCACCGCGTGTCGCTCCCATGGGATCTGGGGCTCAAGCTCATGTTGCATGCTGTGTTCTAAATAATTAAGTCTATTGTCTGACCCAGGAGTCTCATGTCTTCTGCCAGCGTTCAGGAAACCGAGTTTTCAAGAAGGGCAAAATCTTAGGCCTTTTACAGCTGACACAGAGCAATATTGAGAAATACAATCAGGTAAAAGTTATTTAATACAGCAGTTCATAATTTAGGCCACGGATCATCTCTGCAGAGAATCCTACCATGCTGCATTCCTGCTTTAAACCTTTCATCCTCTAGAACGATGCCCAAGAGCCAATGTTAGTCATGTCTTCCTGTATTTGCTCTAGGTAAGCTGTTTCAAAGCCTTCCAGGACAACTTTTGCACAGTCACGTTTATCTTTAAGCACCAACAAAAGAAATGGAGAAATTTGAGCCGTGTGTCCTGGGCTCTGAAAGGCAGCAATCATCTTAGCCCCTAGCATACGCCATGTTCAGCTTCCTCGCCTTGGGCAGGTACCACAGCTACTTCTACTCCAGTGATCAGCAGGCCCTCCAGCATGAAGACCTTTGAGAAGGACCTGAGACTACTATAGCTCTCAGCTCCTAATATGATTTGTACACTATCACCTTGAAGTAAATCAGACTAGTTATTTTCATGCTAAGTTTGAAAACAGTGCCTTCTTTTTGATGCCTCTTGTAGGGTATTGGCAGAGGGATCTCAATTTTTACTTTATACCTGAAGGGCAGCTTTTTGGTCTGATAATTATAGTGTAATCATTCATATTTTAAATCACAAATACCCCCACCTCTTGATGCAAACTTCAGTCTGTGGCGTGAGTGTACATTCACTGCCTAAACCACCTTTGGCCAAAATTTATGTGTATATGAAGTCATTCTACTTTAGCACACTCAAAGGAATTCCTTTAAACCATTTATCTGCTTGTACACAATAGCCAAAGGAATAGTCCTTTCTATGGCTGATGTAATAAACTATCACAAATTTAGTGGCTGAAAAAAAGTTATTCTCTTACACTTTTCGAGTCCAAATTCATGGGGCCAAATGAAGGTGTTGGTAGAGCTGTGCTCTGCTCTAGGCCAGGATCCGTTTCTTGCCTTTTCCAGTTTCTGGTAGTTGCCAACATTATTTGGCTTGTGGCCACATCACTCTAGGCTCTGCCTCTGTGGCAACACTGCCACTTCCTCTTCTGTCTGAAACCTTCCTCTTATGTAGACATTTGCAACTGCATTTTAAGGTCACCAGATCATGCAAGATAATCTCCCCTTCTCAAGACCCTTCATCACATCCGCAAAGCCCATTTTTTGCCAACTAAAGTAACATTCACACGTTGCAGGGATGAGGATGTGGCTATCTTTTGGGGAATCATTACTCATCCGATCAGCGTGGTAAAGCTTGCAAGTAAATTAAAATTTTGTCACTTTGTTCACAAATCAATTTAGCAGAAGATGGGAACAGGACTAATTATAACCCGTATCCCCACAACAACTCCTAAGTTATTTCCTTATAAATACAAATCCCATACAGGACAGTCTTGGGTAATTATTATTCTATACTCATAAGTTTCTTGGTTTGGTTAGATTATATTGCCCTCCTGTTTATAGTCTTACGATAACAATTAGTTGACTTCTACAGGTCCAAACTGCTATTTAAACTGCAATTTGAGTTCCCAGAGGGCAGAAAGTTCTGTTTGAATTGTTTTACAGCCAAAGTTGCTTTTTATTGTTTTGGGATGTATTCTCTACTTACACCACAATTTTCAAGGATGATTATTTCAGGTATGCTTTCTGAGACTCCATGTGGTTGACAACTATGATCAATCCCACTGGTGAAACCAGATTCGAAATAAACTTATCCGCAGGGTCCATGTCTGATTGGCAACCTTCCAGGCTGCTGTGCATGTATGGGTAAGGTAGAGGCAAAGAATGAAGTAAGTTGGCTCTACCAGCTCTCTGTGGAGCCTTGTTTCACAGTAGGAGGGGTGGATGCTCTCGAGAAACTCCACCATTCATACCAACAAACTTATTTTGCTTCATATACTAACATTTCCAGTATATTCCTATTTTCAAAGTTATTTTGAGTTGACAAGAGATTCACTGTGAATTTACCCAATAGCATAATAAATGAATAAACTACCTTTTTTTTCTTGAGACAGAGTCTCACTCTGTCACCTAGGCTGGAGTGCAGTGGCGCGGTCTCGGCTCACTGCAACCTCCGCCTCCCAGGTTCAAGCGATTCTTCTGCCTCAGCCTCCTGAGTAGCTGGGACCACAGGCGCCCACCACCACACCCGGCTAATTTTTTGTATTTTTAGTAGAGACGGGATTTCACTGTGTTAGTCAGGATGGTCTTGATCTCCTGACCTCGTGATCCGCCCACCTCAGCCTGCCAAAGTGCTGGGATTACAGGCGTGAGTGAGCCACTGTGCCCAGCCTAAACTACCTATCTATTTAAATAATAGATAGAAGAGCTTGAATGTCATATTTATTTGGTGAATTTACATGTGAGGTCATTTACAAAAGAAAGATACAGACAGATGCAGCTTTCAGTGCGTTTCAAATATTTTCACAACAGGCAATAGTCCATGAGAATTTGGAATGACAGTATAGAATGGCACATGCTTCAGTTTCCTTTGTGTTTCTCTACCCAACCCCAAGGTGAAAGAAGGGAGAAGAGTAGAAGAAAATGTCAGTGTTAATGTAAATACAGCCATGCAAATAAAAACTTTCTTAAAGTCAGAGATCATCCAGAGATGTAGAACATTTCTGTATTCGGGGCCTATCAGAAGGTGCATAATTTAAAAACAAAATGCAGAGGTCTCAAACTTTCCATCATCCAAATCATCTTGAATTATAATAACCGCACCAACTAATTAGTGGTCTCCCCAATATTTTCCAAAGATTGACTTTGAAAGGGAGTCATTTCTAATAGTTTCTTAAAAAGATAGCATTTGTAGACAAATCTTTTTGGTTTCAACAGAATTAAGCACCCTTAAGGGGTGTAAAAATGCTCCTTTACTCCCAACAGTGTAAACCATAATTATAATTCCTTCTTAAATAAACCTCTCCCCATCCTGAGTATTTCAAAACAAAAGACCACTGAAGAACACAACCCTTCCCTCACCAGAAAAATCTAGCATATAAGCAAAAGGCTGGTCTATAAAAGTGGAAACTGGAAATAAACCTTAAAGTGATTTCTAAGTAAGGAGGCAGAGTAAAGATAAAACACTGCTGTCAGTATCCCTAGTGAAAACCTGGACCTGGGTGGGTAGTCAGTCCTTAGAGATGAAGGTTAGCTCACTACAAAAAAAGCACTCTACATGTCCTCAGCATCTTCAAAAATAAGTGGCTCAAAATTCCTTAAGCACATGTAGCCTTAGTTAAAGCACTAAACTTGTTATTTCAGGAAATACTATGCCCTGGCTCCAAGTCTTACATCCTTTTTGACCCTTTAGCTACATTTTCTTCACTAGAAATTTTAAGCTATTTCAATACTCCCATATATCACACTTACTCTACCTTTATTTGGGTTATACATACAAGCAATCTGCACTTTGATTTTTTAAAAGTTCTAAAATTTTTTAAAGAGATGGGGTCTCACTATATTGCCCAGGGTGGAGTGCAGTGGCTATTCGCAGGTGCAATCACCATGGCACATTACAGCCTTGAGCTTCTGGTCTCAAGCCTCTTGCCTCAGCCTCCCAAGTAGCTGAGACTATAAATAGTATATACAATGCCACTGTACCCTCTATCCTACGCTTTTAAAAGCACACCATTAAATAGTACTAATTATTATAGAAAATAGTTACAGACAATTATAAACACACTTCTGTTTCATCTTACCTCTTTGTCTGGTCCACTCCCCCATCAATACTCAGTCTTCCAGCATATATATCAATTAGAATATTTTGCATCTGCATAATTTACTGTAAGAAAATCTGCTGTTGTGGACTTTAAGAAGAATGTACATTATCCATTAGAGTGGAAAGGGGCCAAGAGGATTAGTAAGTGCCACCGAGTTTCTAAAACTCTGCAGAATCAGAGGCATTGTGCATGCTGACAATGGTTTAAAGGGTCTCTCAATTTTACTTTAATCCCCCATTGAACCTTTGTTTCTTTCAAAAAATCAACTGAAAGCGGTTAATTGAATATAAATCTATTTTACAGCATTTACTATGTTAATTTAAAAATCAACATGCTGTAAAATACTTACATACATTATTCACACATATATATAAAGACGAAATCATCCAGAACATAATCAACTCCCAACCCCCATTACAAAAAAAAAAAAATCAACAAATCAGTTTTTATTTGCATGGCCAATTATCATTTGTACTCTTTGCAACTTTATTTAAATATCCCTTTAACATGTTCTAATCTTTTGTTGCACAGGGAATAAAAGCTGCAAGACTGCAAACTTCCTTCAACAGCCACACCCACAACACCTAGACATGAAACAGATGTAACAAATAACAACACCACAAACAAATACTAATTTCCACCATTCAACACAGTTCATGACAGTGTCTTTAGGGTTCAGTTGAAGAGGGGGTAAACTTTTAAAAAGAGGGTCAGTCTGCTTTCCCCCTATTTTATAATGTTGGTGGTTTTAATCCGTATTTCTTTGCAACTTCTGTCTGGGCATGGGCGGCATCACAAAGTGAATACAGATGGGCCATCTCCATTTCCGATTTGGCCAGGTTAATAGCTTTGTTGAACATGTCAATGGCTTTCTCCATGTTTCCTCTAAAAGAACAAAATTTTTAAGTCTCAGATTCAACAAGCACTTCACAATATTCAATGAAGGTTGTAAGTGATGCTACATGAAGTCTCACCACTAAGTTTCTACTATGATTCTGGTAAAATGCTTCTTTTATAATAAACAAGAGTACCTACCACATTGAGAGCACTCAATGAATGTTAACTACTATTACAAATATTATGTGTTTACATTATATCTCTTGTATTCTGTATTTACTGATAAGAACAGTGAGACTACGGAAATTAATTGGCTTATCTAAATATCACAATTCTGTCTGGTTCCTAAATTCTGCATGTTTCTACCATTAACATGAGACTCCTTTGGAAAGCAGTAACATAATCTCAGGACACTAATGACGTGCAAAGGCCTCACCTTCACAGACTGATGTGGGCCCCCCTCTTTCCGCTTCATCTCTTACCAGCACGTCCCCAACCCCAAGCACCTCTACTCTTCAGGCAGTCTATGTGAGTTCCTTGATGTACTGCACACTCATACCTACATACAATACTCAGATTTATGGCCTCTGCCTGATTCTGGTCAAATCCACAGCTATCTAAGAACCGTTTTAAGTAACTAGTATTAGCTACATCTATATGCAATCCTACAAAGAATATTAAGTCCCTACTATACACACACACACACACACACACACACACACACACACACCTACCTGCATATATAGTTTAACTGGCATACATGTTAGTAAGGTACATTTTACTGGCATATGTGCCAGCTAGACTCTCTATATGCCAGTAAGAAGTACCACTAGGGTGACTATATTTAATCCCCTATTACAATATATGGCAACGTGATAGACTTATTTTTAAAAAAACTTTTTTCAAGATTTCATGTTCTGGCATTAGGCCAACAGCAAGCAGCTCTGCAAAATCCTAGGATAATCTGCGATTTCATTTATTCAAATTCACTTATTTAATTGTAAAGGTAAGGTTCAGAATGGATTTTTTAAAAGTTCAATTAACATGTGAACAAAATTCCATCAAACCCTAAATCAGAGGTCTTTAATTAACCCAGGATCTATGAAAGCCTTAAATTAAAAGCAAAGTGTTTTTGTGTGCATTATTCTAAGAAGAATCCACAGCGTTACTCAAAAAAGATTAAGAACTACCACCCTATCCTATTCTAGTACAAGAATATTTTATTCACATTAACAAATTAGCAATTAAGAAATAATTTAGGCTGGGTGTGGTGGCTCACACCTGTAATC